TGAGAGGTAGCATATAAAATAGCAATTTCATGGATGTTTCCTGGAATTAGGTTTTCATCTTGCTGAATCCATTGCTTGTCTTAATGTCTACTTGCTTCAAGCACATTTTGAGCATTAATTTTTTTTTACTGTTTTTTTAATATGTAGTATTCTTAAAACATTGGTTTTAAAACCATTATATTAGTACCCTTAAATTTCTAAGCAATGTTCATACCCCCTGTATGGCTGGTTGTGGAAATTTTTCCTGATGATAATGTGAGTTTCAGGACCTTATATTCAAACCACACATAGCCTTGCTTGCGGAAGTAACAATCTTAAATGCTAGTAAAGTACTACCTATACACCAATAACCTCAACTCGGGACAATTCAAAACAAAGAGGTTTCAAAGTTCATCTTGAATGGGGGAGTCACCATTTCCACTTAAGCTTTAACGAAAGTAACTTAAAACAAAAAGTAAAAGTCAAGTATATATAAGTGATGGGCGTCAGAATGACTGACTAAAAGCTCAATTCACCTAAATTTATAAAGCTATAACCACATGGTGAAGCCTATACATTTTTTACAATAATAGTTCAGTTTTAGCGTACTGAAAAATAATTTAATACTATATTCCTAAGAAGCAAACTTGTAAGACGGGTAAGTTATTTACTATCAGAAACCAGTTTCACCCATTTTATACCTTTTGAGGATATACTACCCCTTTTGGGTTGGATTAGATAACCAAGGTTTCATTCTTTAAGGTTTCTAGGATAGTCTTCACTAAGTTGCTCCTTAAGGTAAACCTGAGGGCATTATTTTATTCATAGGTTATTAATGCAATTTTTCAAAGATACCCAACAAGAAACAGTTTAAAAGACACAAGAGACTAATTCTCACTATACCATGATCTAAGACTTTAGGGTAAATGTATGTTATTAATATTAAAATATTTTAATGTTAAAATTATTAACATATATATAAAATAAAAAGTTCACAAACTTTTTCTGTCCAACACATTAAATTTTAGTTAAACTTTTTCTTTGCATACTATTGGCATTCAAATATTTACTTATTGAATGTGAGGCAAGTAATTTTTATCTTTAGGAAGAATATCCCCAAAAAACTCTGGCTACACGCATATCCACAGCTAGCAACCACTAGAAGAAAAAAAAAAATGTATGAATTATGTAAGGGATAACAGACTTTTCCTTTCAAGTCACAGTCAGTGAAAGACTTCATACTAGTATGATTTAGAGAATTCTTAATATATATGATCCATTACAGTAAAAATTTGAGATTGTCTTGGTTCTTGGCCAAGAGAATTTAGTCACTGGCAAAACTCAAAAGAACTCCTAACAGTTTCATTTTTAAATACTCTGGCACTGGCTCCCAGATCAAAAGATAGATCATTAACATAGAAGACTTTAAGGACATTAATGCACTCATTTTGAATCTCAATGTCAAGACATAGTCTATGACTGCTCAGTTAATTTCAAAAAGGGTGTTTGTTTAAAGGGCAGGTTAGCATCCTGGATTAGGTATTTTAATTTTTTTCTATTCAAACTACATATTTAATTTCCAAAGGAATCTGCAACAGCATTGAATTATGCAAAAAAAATTATTTAGTGTGAAAAACAGAGTAGTAACCTGTATCTTTGATACAGCTGAGCTTTCTGAATTCATTGTATCACTGTTTTTAAACATTTTTCTAACACTGCCTTTTACTCAATTATCAGCAAAGAACATAGCAGCTCTCTGTACTAACAATCATAGCAACTCCTAATTTAGGTAATAATTTACTTGATCTATCAACTACACTGATGAAACAGCCAGACACAGTTCCTTGAGGAATACTAATGACCAAGCATAAGCCACAATGTACATCTTATCATTTAAGATTAATTTTAGGAGGCAATTCAGGTGTTTCGAATAAGTTTAACTTAAAATCTACCTTAGGTTGATAAGGTGTTGGTAATCAGAAGAGGGCTGTCAGGCCTACTGATTTAGTATAGAATAGTGCTCTCTCTCCAAGGATATTAGTGCCTAATGGGCCAGCAGGAGCCTTGCACACCTGACAAATTTTTTTTAAATATTTATTTATTTATGCATACAGAATTGGGGTACAAGCCAGAGGTGCATGGGTGGTGAGAGGCTTCACCAGAGACAGAGTGGGGAGTAGGACAGGCAGATCCAAGATTTAAGTACACTGCTGAGGGGAGCAGTGGGCGGGTCAAGAGAGGTCTGCAACCTTTGGGGTAGGGGGAATCGAAGTGCACAGAAGTGCTGCGCCCCCTGACAACAAACTTTTTTAAAAAGTCCCTAATAATATTACAAATGGAGTATACCTGAAAATTTTACAGTGTTAAAATGCAGTTATTTCAGTAATTTTTTTTTAAACATAACGTTTAATCCAAATTCTAGCATCTTAACTAAACTCCTCTTCCAAAGTCAATGCAGATTAATCACCACCTTTCGGATTTAAATACAACCTACCGCTATTCATACAGGAGAGTATAGTTAAGTAAAACACATGCACCCCTGGTAGTCAGGGGACACAATGAAGGACTTTCAGTGATTGTATCAATATCACAAGTGTAAGACTGTACCAGTGTCACGACTCAGCACAGTAGGGCCAGGGGCTCACTCTAGATCCAGGCTCTGGGTGAAGAAGCAGTCTGTGCCACCTAGCAGCTGTAGGCCTTGGGCAAATTATCAATACTTAACTTTCTTTGTATCTAGTTAGTAAATTAAATCATATAAAACTCTACCTGGCATAGAGATAGAACACATAAATATTGGCTACTACAAATATTTGCTGGTCTTCAGTAACTGGTTAGCGTGTTATAACCACCTTCAAAAAAATATGCCATTTTATATACTGATGATGATAACTAAGCATTTTACATACAGCAACTCTGTTAAGCTAAGATTCTAACATTATCCTCCCCAACAGTCTATAATAAACCCAGAGTTTGTCCAATTGGGTTTCAATGCTTTCATGTGATTTTTTCTTTCAAAACAAATGCTTCTTATACCCTGGTAACATGCCTAGTACTGCAAATGAACAACTTTGAGATACATGGGATTAAACAGCTAACAAAGCGAAGCTTTAGGCTTAGGCTGACAAACAATAAATCTATTTCAGGAAGCCTCACAACTTTAGAAGTGGGACTAGACTCTATCTAGGTTTTAGGATTGTGTTTCGGAGGTGGGCTGTTGCTGATGCTAAATCTGAGTCTCAAGAGAGATTCTGATTTTACAACAGACCAAATCCACATTTAAACATCACTATACAGAACTCACATTCACACCAGTATCACATTATTTAAAAGGAGGGGAAGAGAGGTTGGAAGTAGCAAAGTATACAACAAAATTTTTCTCATCAGTTTTACAATGTAAAATTTATATTCTGAAAATATAATCCTTCCATAATATAAAATACTATCCAGTAGCCATATGATTACCCATGTCATGTCAAATATTTACTAAACATTTCCTGATATATGGGTAAGATACTGCAATATTTTGAGTCTTCAAATTATTGAAAAAAATCTTATGTTTAATATTCAAAATTACACCACTTTTTTTTTTTTTAAGCAACCATTGCCAACATGCAAACACTTTAAGTCAACTTTAAAAGTCAGCACAGAATCAACTTTTTGGCAAAACAAAGGGTTAAATGTAGAAAAGTGATCAATTCCCCCCCCCCCCAAATCCTCACTCTGTGAAATTAATCTGGTCAATTTAAGCAAGGGAAAAGAATTACAACACAATTATCATGCGATGGAGACAGATATAAAAACCTAACAAGGTCCCAAAAGGAACTTAACCTTTTCAATGAGTTGGTCCCATACCCTACACAAGAATCTTAAAAATGACAGATTACACTGTATTCTATTTTATTCTCATCAGGAGTTTTCTATGGCCAAAATTAAGATGTACTCAGCATGGTACAGATGCACTAGGCCCAAGAAAAGCACACATTTCATACAGTTACACCTGAAATGCATAATTTAACGTAAAGGTACACACAGGTTCATGTAGCTGGTTCCAACTCCCAGAATTTTATCAAATTTCTTCACCAAATTTTTTTATAATCCCACACTCCAACCTCTGGGTTGAGTTAATTCCACTCCTTTCCATACCACTCTAGCAGATCGATTGCAACAGCACATGTGCCAAAGAAATTAGTGGTTTTACTTGCGCTTCCATTTTAAGCGGGCACCTACTTGCAATTAAATCTCTGCAACAAAAAAAGTTCACCTGAGGGCATTCTTGCCATTCTAATAGAGGCCTAGCTTATTCTACCTGTTTCTGTGGTCTTGCCTCAGCTATAATAGCATACCTCCAAAGAGACTGGACGCATCCCAAACACCAGCACCCCGACCTGCTGCCAACTCTGCCTGTCACTCCAGCGCAACCTAACATGTATACGTTTGGAGGTGCGTGTGTGTTTGTGTGTAGTGAGTGAGAGTGAGAGTGAGAGAGAGAGAGAGAGAAAGAGAGAGAGAGAGAAAGTGTGTGTGTGTGTGTAGTGGGTAAGGAATGGAGTGGGAGACACGGATTACTGGCGTAAGGTGACCGAACACTTTCAACTAGTAACAGAAGTTTTCTAAACGAGTAAAACAAAACAATCCCTCCACCTACTCCAAGCGCGGGAACCTCCCACCCTTCTTCAGGGCACCTTCAAGGTTTCAGAGCCTTGGGTCAGTAAGTTTCAACTAATTCTCGATTTTTTTTTAACTCCTCGTCTGCCGAGGAAACTGAGAGGCGCCCCGGACTGTCGGGCCCACGCGGCGCACCTAGAGACCCTCCCCCGCGACTCCACTCCAGACGGGGCAGCCCTCGGACGGAGGAGGGCTCACCTGAGGCCCCAGGGGCAGCCAATAGGAAGCCCCCAAGGCCCCCCAGCCCACGCGCGAAGCCCCGGAAGGGTCCCCGCAGCCCCATCCGCGCGAAGCCCGCCGCCCCGCCGGGAGCAGGGCTCCGTCGACGGCGCCTTCTCTCCGCTCGGAATTACCTCGCAGCGCGCGGCAGGCTTTGTGCCGCCCTCCCTCCTGCTCCGGCCGCCGGGGCTGCCGCGGCCGCCGGATCCGCCGCCGCCGCCTCTTAAGCACCGCACCGCTGGTCCAGAGGGGAGGGCGGAGGGGAGGGGGCGTGAGGAGGGAGGGACTTGGGCCGAACCCTGGGCGGCAGGAAGCCGGGCACCTGGGTCGCCGATGACTCAAGCTCTCGCTCTCGGTTTTCAAAATTACAATTTAAACCCCCTCACGGATCCTCCCGCCCCTCGCCCGGGCGACCGTTACGGGCCGGCGGCTGGCGCTCTGGCGGGACTGGCCCAGCGCCCCCGGAGCGTCCCCCTGGCCCCGCCTCAAAGGCCCCGCCCCTCGGCCCCCAAGCACCTCTGGCCCCGCCCCTCACCGCCCCAGAACGCCCCTAGTCCCGCCCCTCGAGCCCCCGAGCGTCCTGAGCCCGCCCCGGGAATCACAGGTCTGGGTTGGCCCCGCCTCCTAGAGGCTCCGCCCCGCGTCCCCAGCTTCTGGCTCCGCCCCGAGCGCCCCTCTAGTGCTTGGCTCCGCCCCTTGCGTCCCCCTCCTCTCTCGCTAGCGCCAAGTCTGTGAGGCCGCGGCACCCCGGGCCTACCCGCCCGACCTCCGCAGGCCCGGCCCTGGGCGGACGCCCGCCCCTCCTCAGGCACTGCGGCTCGGATCCGCGGCGTCCCCTGAGGATGGGAGGCGGAAGGAGCCAGCTGGAAAGGCTGCTGTGAGGGGCAGCTGGGACGCTCGGCTATGTCGTGCCCCCACCCCCCCGCCCCGACCTGAGCCTGTTCCCCACTCCCGCCGTTTCCGAGTCAGGTTTGCTGCCCACCACTGACTGCTGGGTCTTCACGAGGAGGCCACTGTTATGCTTCCACCTCCGCACGCCCCCCAGGAGGGGCCTGGACTGTCTGCTCTGCCTGTTTGCTTGGAGGACGCCTCCTGCCCCCACTCACCTCCGCGGACAGGCGGGGCAGGTCCTGCTCCGCTTGCAACCTTTGAGGGTCTTCACCCTCACTTTGATCCCTGGTCTCGTGGCCTTATGAGAACTGACCTCTTGGAGGTGAAAAGTCAAGGTACTACCAGCCCCAAATAGAATCCGGAGCTGGGTAAACTTTGCAACCTGCAATGGCAGAAATGTGGCTCCATCCAATCCACAGGTGACTGGGCGCCCACCCCCGCCACCCAAGCACATTTCTCACCCAAATGTGTTCCCGAAATAGACCTCCCAGCAACGCACACCTTTCTCTGCCACCCACGACTTGCACATCCCTCCCGCACACATGTCCTCCACGGGCACGAATCCACTCACAAGCACACTCCTCCGAACGCCATTCTGGTTATTCACAGTCCCTTGGGTCAACCCCACCCTAACACACACAACAAACTTCATTCCCCACCCTTATCTCTTCGTTTCCAAGGCGCTGGCGACAGACCACTTCATTTCCTTCCTCCTCTGCAGACTCTTCTCTTCCCCCTCAAATACTTCACGCCATCCCCCTCATCTTCATCCCCTCCCTCTTCCCTAAAAATGTGCTAATTAAAATGTAGTTTCCTCTTCCCACATATGAAGTGTGGAAAATGAATCTTGTCTTGGCACCAACTGTGATTCATTTACCCCCGTTTTCTCTCTCCACTGGACGAAGGCTATAGAAATTGTAGTCTACCACCATCTCCCATCTGCTTAAAATCTAATCATGCCTTATGATTTTAAATACTCCGATAGCATCGTGGGGAAGACTTCCTGGGCAGGGGGCAGAAAATATTTAGAAAATGCTCAGCTTGTCATTTTATTTGCCATTTTAAAATATCTGCAGCATTTGAAAGAGATATTGGGAGTGGCTGAATGTTTTCTTGCATTTAAAAAGCCAAAAAAAAAAAAAATGGAGAGCTTTGCATGCATAAAGGTTAGCCTTTTAATGAACAGCTCTCCCCCACCCTCAAAAAAAAAAAGTATGTTAAGGACACATATCAGACAATAGTCTCCACTACCCAGGGCATCTGCCAGTCTCAAATTTAGATCCTCCTCAAAGCAAGATAAATTAACAAACCATTTTAAGTACGTCTGAAGAGCAGTCTTTCCCAAAATCATTCCCTTACCCACAGTTTCAAGACAAAAATGCATAACAGATCTGCTTACCCGCTGAGGATCCGAGGCTTTCTTGTGTCCGGAGTAGTAGACGTGTGTCTTCTCTTCTGTAGGTGTGGATTCTGCAGTGCTGCACAGAAACCCACTGCAGCCTCAGACCAGCAGCGGCGGAGGCAGCAGCAGCGACAGCAGTGGCAGCGGCGGCGGCTTCTCCCTGGGCTGAGTAGTAAAGTGTGTGACTTAGTAGAGACTCCACAATTACCATTAGGCTCTAGTTTCTTAGGAGAGGAGGCGGAATCTTTCTTAAAGGAATGGGTTTTGTTTTCCCTCTCCGCGATTGCTTCATAAGTGGCAGAAAGGGTGGAAGCAAGGAGTTTTTTTGGACCGAGTAAAGCAGTACAGCTGTGGGAGGTCAAGGTTAAAATTAACTGGGTGATCGAGGGACCGATTTAGTGTGAGTCAATGAAATGCTAGAAGCATTAGTTTTAAAGAGCCCTTCCAGCTTCAAATAGTGGGGTCCACGGCAAATGTGGTGTGGTGACTTAAAAGTGATTAGTACTTTATGATAACATTTAACTTCCAATCACTGCAGTTAAATGAGAAGTATTAAAAGGACGTTATTTAGTATTTCATAAAAGAATGTGAATGGCATAATAAAACTCATTATGCGACTGGAGCAACGGAGCCAAGTCCTTTCAACGCTTACAGCATATCTGGAATTTCAGTAAATGTCAGTGTAAGAAAGTATATTATTGGCAGAGACCAAAATGTATACTCATGCTATAAAATCACAATATGACTTATAGAAAATCCAAAAAGTATAGTATCTCAAATAATTTAAATAACAACAAAGTACTATGCTATTTCGGTGGTAATTTAAAGGTCAGGAAAAATAATAAGTAGATCAACTCACGTTAAGTGCATGTGAATCTGCAGTTTAGACTACTGAAAGGTAATGTGTTTATACACAAGGAACCCGAAAATCTGCACGATAACTTTAAAATTTTATTTTTCATATTCCTCCATTTAAGCACTGATCGTTTATGATTTTTCCCTAACAGGTAAATGAAGAAATGTGACTTCAAAATATGCATACAGAAAATACCCCAAATTCTGCAATTGATTTTCTTTGCGGTCACTGTTACCTATCGGTGTGAACTTCAACAAGTAAGTAAGTTTATTTAATTCTAAATTCCCTAATTTGGAAAATGAGAGTGTTAGATTGAAATTTTCCTTTAGCATTCCAAATATAATTTTATGACATGTTTATATTTTTTATTATTTAACTGATGTATATCGTACTCTTAATGACTTGCTTGGGAAAAATTTACTTCAATATTTAAATTTTTAAAAATTATTTTAAATGTATAACCTGAGTTTATTATTTACCACTGTTTGGAAATTATTTTGCAAATCAAATAATTATTTTTATCAACTGAGTAAAATTAATTTTATCTGACTTATGCTTTTGTACCCTACCAGTTTTCCTGAAGTAGAGCCCTATTACGTTGCTAGGCACACTGACTGACTGCAGTACATGTTTAATAACAAAAGCAGATTTAAAAACTGGAATATCATCAGCTGGTAGAGTTGGAACATAGTTTGGAGTTCACCAACTCCAACCCTACAATTTTACAGTGGAAAAAAAGGGGAAACCCATAGAAGCAAAATTAGGACAGTTAGGGACAGAGTAGGGTGAACTCTGAGCTTGCACACTTCACATACACATTCACAGGTCAATGAACAACACAGATGATCATATACACTGTTCCCCACACACTGACTGAGCAGGACCTGTCACAACACTAAAAGGTAAGGTCACTCAATGACACTATTTGTATGCATGGTGTATAAATGGAAGACATAAATCAAACAAGTACTTATGATGTATATAAATATTAGCACAAATTTTGCCTTTAAGTTGGAGATGTTTATGATAGAAAGTTAAGAAATTTGTCCAGAGAAATGCTTTAAAAAAAAAAAAAAAAGGTGGACTCCAGGGGAACTCACCGCATTCACTTGCAAACTTTTCTTTCTCATCCACCCAACTAGCAGGGCCTTTAACTCTATGAGTTGTTTGCTTGAGCCCACTGATGTCTCTTTATATATTCCTTTTTGTCCATATAAACATGTCGCCAAGAGGAAAAGTCTATTTTGGAGCCAGGTAGGGGAAAGTATTTTATAGACTTAATTGTGGACTTTAGAGATGCTATTTGGAGGTTGCTAACATTTTCCATTAAATCTGATCTGGTATTTCTGATAAGGAGCTTGGCACTAACCTAAGTTCACTCTCTCTAGTTACAAGGGGACATTAGAGTAAAATTTGTGTTATACTGGAAGATACAGCAAGTTCAGATTTTGAGTATCTGACCGGACAGTTTATTACCTTGATTTAAAAAAAAAGAAAGCTTCCTACAGGAGAGAATTAAAGGAAATTGTTATCCACTTTCTTCATCTGTTTTTGTTATCTTGTTCTTCTGCAAGGAAGGCATTCATTTGATCTATCCAGTAGTAATGGATAATAAATAAAATGGAACTTGTCTGTATAATTTAAAGCAACCCTCAAAATTAAATGCATTTCTTTGTGTCTTCCCAAAAGTGCTAAGCACAGTCTCTTATATAAAGGCACTTAATAGATACTTTAAAAAATGAATACACGAATGAATGAATGAATAACCCCCCAAACATCCAGAAGCTGATTACAAAGTGTTTTTGTTTGTTTGTAGTTTGCATTGTCCAAAACAACTGACTCCATTCACTACCTCCCTTTTTTAACACAGTCTTGATCTAAGAGAAACAATCTCCTTTCTGTAGAGCTCTTTAGGCATGCCTGATTTGTATTCTCCAATTAAATTGTAACCACAAATCTCCACATGAACTCTGGATAGATCCAGCAGTAGCTGAGACACTTTCTGCCAAGAAAACCCAGGCTTAAGTTTCAAAATTCCTGTGCTCTCGGTCTAGTTGTGACACCAACTGGTTATGTGACCTCAAGCAAGTTTCTTGACTTGCTTGTGCCTCAGTTTAGACATCTTTTAAGTGGCAGTGGTGGTGGACTCTAATACTTACTGTGCCTATTTCATAGTGTTGTTGGGAAGTTCAAATGAGACAGTAAATGTAAAAATGCTTTGAACTTTTCTATGTAAATATAAGGTATTATTATAGGCAGATGTATTTAAAATCAATTATCTAGTTCAAGGACTTTACCCTAAACAACCTGTTTTACTACTTA